TGTTGGGATCACATATGGGTATGTTATGGGGGGGGGCTTAATAAAGGGATCAACAGTATCACTTTTGTCCATTCTATTTATGATCATAAATTACCACAGTGAAGACATGTCCCTCAAAGAGAGGGTAAGGACTGACACTTGCATGAGATAATTTAGACTTTTAAAATTTTGTATCAATGAAAATATTACTAGTGTGAGGTTTACAAAGGTTTACAGTATAAACATTACATTGATGACAATTAAATTGATTGAAAAGTTATTCTCTTCATCTGGTGGAGTTTTGTCAGTCAAGTGATGTCTGAGAAGTTAAAAATAAGACTTCCTAAAGCATGCATCACTAATTTATGATTGAGACATTAACACAGTGAGTTATTTGGCTTCACTGGTACTGAAATAAAGTAGTCAACGGATATTGGATTTCAATAGACCATTATGTATCATGTCCGGGCAAATTGGATGCCCGGGAATACAACTGTATTGTGACTCCATGTACTAAAATTGAAAATCAAATAAGTATGATAAGTTAAGTAGTTCATACATGACTGCCATTTTTGAATTATTAACACTGAAATGAAGAAACACAAGGAAGAATTGAGGCATACTGAATACGAGCATGAACAATTCAACTGTAGATCTCAATTATGAACAACATACATGTACAAGCTAAATAAAAAACAAAATAAATAACACCACAATAAATCATTTCTCACAGTAAGTCATCTATTTTCACCTTGCCAGTAATGTGAATAAATAAAATGGTATAAACATGTTTTATCATTTTTGTCTTCGTCATCAACTTTTTTTTTCTTGAGGTTACAATAGCACACGCCTTGTCGAGGCGTTGCACGTTTGATGTCGAAAACACAAGCAATTCTGAGGAATTACACACCATATATAAGGGGGTGTTGAGACACCGAGGTTGGGGGGGATGAAGAAATAAAATGGCGAGACATGGCAATCATTTTCACCTGGGCGCCGAGCGTGGCGTGGGTACAGAGAGGAATGTGGTGATCCTGAGTCATTCGTCCAGGCACTGCCGTGACCGCAGTTCCCCCCAGAAAATTTTTTTTTATCTGACTGGTTTACAAATTTGATGTTTGTTACCTATAAATTGTGTTATCTTTTGCTTCACTAGTTTTCTTTTATTAACTGAGCTCTATTCTCTGGGTATAAATACTCACTTTGTTATCCTCTTTGGAAATGAAAACCACAGCATCATTGCCACAATTCCCTAGTTTCCATGAATCGTGTAATAAATATTCAGCCCATTGCTGAGCTTCTGCTGTCAAATCTTCGTCAGTTTGTTCGTCTCTGTAAAATAGCAATAGATGCATGATTTGATTGGATAATAGCAATAGATGCATGATTTGATTGGATAATATGGCAATCGTTTACTACTTTGGGCACTCTTTGAATAATATCCAATAAAAGATTAGATTACATCATCGAAGCAGCTAGTCCAAAGAATGATTTTATAAACGCCACAGATGGTAATGATTTATTTAGATGATTGAATGGTGAATAGAACAACAATTTGTGTATGTAAACAAATTCAAATAAATGTCATGGGTTTTCAAATATTACAAAAAAAAATTTGCTAATTACTATGGAAATGTTATGTTAATTATTATATGGGTTATCCTAAATCGCCCATTTGCCTTATTTCATTGAAATATATTATGTAGTTTGTCAAATGAGTTCAGAAATTTAATTCTAAAATTGGCTAATTATTATGCAAATTAGAGAAATTCACAACAATGCACAAATATCCTATTTCAGCTACTGTGGAGAAGAAAAATGAAGAAATGGTAATTGAGACTGTTTTGTTTGAATGTTTTATAACTCACACATCAATACATTGTACAATTGTCAGACATCAGAATGGTATTAAAGTTTAATATGCACAAATTCAATGAAAAAACTAATCAGGTCATGGGATTATCACAGATCACCTTTTGTACCAAATTTCATTGAATATTAGTGGTTCATGCGATATCAGTGCAACACATGCAGACAGGAAAACTTGAGATTCAACATATATAAGCATAGTATCAATTGCATACATTGTCAATTCTTTGCTTGATGAGTCAAACGTTGATTTACGACTGAATCATGCCTGAAATACTTAACCCACATATGATGACCTGGGGATAAATTCACAGTATCTCAAATTAAATATAAATAAAAGAAAGCAATATGTCATTATTCTGTGACCTGCATAGCATATTTTGAAATCTAACTTCACTAACGTAACACTCAAAAAGTTAAAGCGCAAAGGTAAGATCTCCCTAGGGTAGCATTACATTGCTGGGACAGCATTATAGAGTAGTATGTGTAAGAGGTTTAAAGGAGATTTATTCATGTATACTTAACTGGACTAACCGATTAGGAGCCGAACAGAGAATTCTATTTCCTGTTGTATCATTCAACTAAGATAGTTTCCGATATTGTAGTTACATAGACATAAACGCTAGTATCAACAAGCCATGCATGGCACAGTCCCCGTTAGTTATCAAATTTGAGATATATAGTTATGTTTATAGTAATATAGCTGGAATATAACCATGTCAGGAATATGATTTTTTTAACATTAAAATGATTGACATTTGTATCTGATCCTCAAACAAGTACTTGTCCATATTGAGAGATATTGCTCTGGAACAGCATTCAAAATCAGCCATTTTGAATACATGTATATATATATATATATAACATGATGTATAACGAATATATAAAATTTGAATATAATCAGTCAAAGTATTTAAGAGATATGGCTCTAGAAGCCCAATC